GGATGATGGATGGTGGCTGGGGAAGGAAATAATGGCAGAAGATGAGAATGTTGAAAGAAAAGTTGGAACTTGAAACTAATCAATTTTTAAAAATCTTATGACCAAGCATGGTGGCTCACACCCACGGGAGGCCAAGCTGGGATGATCACTTGAGGCTAGGAGTTCAAGACCAGACTGGACAACATGGCGAGACCCTGTCTCTTTTAAACTTAAAAAATAAAAATAAAAAATATTTTTAATAAAAGAGTTGGGTATAGTGACTCACGCCTGTAATCCCAGCATTTGGGGAGGCCAAGGAGTGAGGATCACTTGAGCCCAAGAGTTCAAGACAAGCCTGGGCAACCTAGCAAGGTCTTATCTCTACAAATAATAAAAAATAATTAGCCAGGTATGGTGGCATGCACCGGTATTCCCAGCTACCCCAGAGGATAAGGCGGGAGAAAGGCTTTAACCAGGGAGGTGATGACTGCAGTGATCTGTGACCATCCCACTATACTCTAGCCTGGGCAACATAGTGAGACAACTCCCCACCCCGATCTCAAAGAAAATAAAATCTTAAATCTACACACATCCCCATATAATATTCTTCTGTTGGGAATTTTTTTAAGGTTTTTTAAAAATCACTTGTAAACATCTTTTACTTTTAGTATCTTTAATTGTCTTATTATAACAAGCTACAATGTAAAAACAACTCAAACTCCAACAAAGAAACTCTATACTATATGATAGTGAAATATAAGCCAGAGAATCAATAAGAGGATGCTACACTACTGTTGAAGACCAGAAGTTATTATCTCCTTTGAAAAGGATCAACAGAAGCAGTATTGATGCAGGATACAAAAGTACTATAATAAAGCTGGATGTGGTAACACATGCCTATAGTCCCAGTGACTCAAGAGGCTGAGGCAGGAGGATCACTTGAGCCCAGGAGTTGAAGGGCAACCTAGAAAAAACAGCAAGATCCCAAGATCCCAACTCTTTTGGAAAAAAAAAAGTACCATAATAGTAATACTTTTTGTTTCAGAGTTATTTAAAATCTTAGTTATATGTTTAATAAAGTAATTTATTCAAGTTTTTAAAATATTTACTCTTATGATTATAAAACTTTCTTTTACATTTATCAATGTGCTATAATATGAAATGGATGTATCCGCCGTTTAACCGAATCAAGAAATTCATTAAATGCAGTTTATCATAAATCAAAAATAACCATTAACAAAATGAAGAATCTGTTTAATTTATCAGCATTGAGATTCTATTTACATAATGAAGAGCTATGGGTAACAAACAGCCCAAACACTATTCGCAGAAAACTCAATATTCCAATGATTTTAATATATATATAATTATAAATTTCTAGGCTTGGATTTACAGAGTATGTAAATGGTCAGAAGTAAATTAACATACCTAATTTATTACAGTTCAGAAATCTAAATGAAATGCCACAGGCCACAAAACAACTGCTTCATATTCAAAGGCACAAGTTCAATTTGGTAGATCAGCTGGACTCACTGCATTATATTGCAGGAGATAAGGGTTAAGTGACCTTGGGATCCTGTTCTGCAGACGGCTAAAGGGTCCATTTTTTTATTGGAGTTATCTCTACTTAAAAAAAAAAATTAGATCTACTTTTGATAAACACTTAGCTTATCACACAATTAATACCTTTCCCCATATAAGATTCTACTTGAGGCTTTGTTTTTGAAATTTTAGGATTATAGCTATTATAAAAACAAAATTTAAGAATACACAACATACACAACAGGTTAAGAATACATGCCTTCTCTTCTGATGAATAGAACAAAAAGGTTAAAAAGTTTGGGGATACATTTTAGAGATTGTTAAATGAGAAATCCAATAAATCTTTAAGCATTTAGCTTTCCATTATTGCAGCTCATGAAAAGATTGTTTAAACTAATTTGTAATACACAATATATTCACTCCACAAATAATTATGTACATATATAGCCCACATCAATTTCCTTATCCTTTTAATTAAAAATTTGTTTCTCCTACTCATAAAAATCTGGTTTTAGGTGTTTTAAAAGTTCAAACAGCTATCAAGCTATACTTTGCTTTGGCACTAGCTCCCCCTCCAGACCAATGTACTAATATAACTGCATTTAAAAAAATAATAAGTAACAAGTTTTTCCAATCCACTAGCAAATTTTAAGATTCACCACTTTTAAGGACACTCCAATTTCATAAAAATAACTCGTAAGAATTTGCAACAAAACAATTTAGAATGTAATCAGAATTACTGTTTTTTTCAATTCTATACATCTTAAATAAAACTGATTTGTAGGAAAACAACTTCAGGTGACTTTTTAAATTCAAAATAACCTCAAAATAAAGCCTATATAATGCCATATCTTGTGGAAATTATTTTGAATCACTATCCTATTACACAAGTACCCTTCAAGTTAACTCACAATTTGACCAAAGATACGTTTTTGCATCTATTTCTGCAATCCATGCAAGTTTAATTCCAGCTGTTCATCTATGGAATTCAAATAGAATTCTCAATTTATAAAGCAGCAAAAAGAAAATCTATGTCTTGGAACTACCCTTGTATGTGTCTTATTCATCTCTAACTCCCTGCATTTTTTACACACGAAACCTGTAAAATGACTATTACAAACGCTTAAATTCCCACCTTCTCACTACTACTGTAGTATTTACAAATCAAGTAATTAAGAGTTTCTACACACATAGCAGATTTCACAAGGATAACAATGCATAGGGTCTTATTATTTGGCACAGGGTTTTTGGATGTTTTTACAGTTATTTTAAAGAGTGGAGACTATAACTCGCTCCATTATTTCTTACATATCTGATATACTGTAGTGCTTAAATAATTTCTTGCCTAAAATACTTTCTATATTATGTACCTCTTTAAAGAATTAGTTGTTAGACATGGAATGTAAAATTAATCAAGAAAATAAATATGCCGCTAACTCCAGGAATAACAAGAAAAAAAAAGTTAGGTCAGTTACTTGAGATGCGTTTAACTCTAAACTGACACAAAACTTGTGTTGCATTTGTTCCGCAAAACCTTGAAATTTGGTGTTATCTACTGGAGAATTCTGGCTTTTCTGGGTCCACCTTCTGGAGTGGGTTTAAATAAACTGTAAATAATTCAAACATAGGAAAAAAACCACCACCTCTCCGTGCCTTTATCCAAGGCCTCAAAAATATAGGGCAAAATGCTAAAAGCTTATCAGGGACAAACCCTAAACATGATACTGCCACTTAAGAAAGACACTGCGTCTCTGAAGGCTGCAATCCCCACTGTGAAGAAAGAACAGGTGCTGCACCCGACAACCCACTCACTCCTACAGGACAAACCTCCTAGAACTAATAAATATGGACTCATTTAACCTTCCCAAGTAAGTTTAGATACTCAAAAGCCGCCAGCTCGTCATTTGCACACCAAAAGGGAGTACAGCTGCACAAGACCCTTTAACTGCCCTTCATCGGTCCCTCGCGGATCTTTCTGCGGGTCCACTCCCTGCTTTCTAGCCCGAGCAGCACTCACAGAGAGCCCAAAACACACCGGCATCTTCCTCCCCACAGACCGCGACTCCAGGGACCGAGCTGCTGGCGAAGGGAAGGTAGGCGTGGAGGGGAGAGGACGGACACCTCCCACCCCCGCTCCCATCCCTTTTCCTCCCCCTAGGCTTCGGCCCCTGCCCTAGGCAAGGATGCGCGACGCCGAGGGCAGCGGCGGCGCTGCTCTCCGCGTCCCGGCTGGACAGCCGGGCCCCTCACCCTCTGCCCGCGCCCCCGGGTCTGCGCCAAGGCATCCGCCAGAGCGTCCCGGTGGCTCCCTCCCCACTTTTCCGAGAGCCACTGGTTAACCGGCAGCAGTTGCAGCAACAGGCCCGGGGGTGGTCCGGGGAAACGAGCAGGGACAGCCGCCGAGCCTCCTCAGATCCCGCGCGCTACCCAGCCCAAGACCCCGAGGCGCGCGGGGCCCGGCTCCCAGAACGCCCTTACCCGAAGCTGGAGCACAGGCGGTCTCCGCCGTCCCCGGTCGCAGCCGCCAAAGCCACAGCCCTCAGCCGTAGCTGCCCCACGGTGGCGGAGTGGAAAGGGTGGCTGGGAGGATGCTACTCCCGACTAAACCGAGAGGAAGAAACGGAAACAGGAACCGCCGCCGCCGCTTAACGGAGCCTTCGGCGCCACTGACTGAGGCAGAGCGCGAGGCGGCGCGAGCAGGGCAGTCGCTGACAGCGCGAGACCGAGCGCGAGCCGGGTCCAGGGCGCGCGACCCCGAGCAGCGCCGGCCCCATTCCGCGGGGAGAGAAAGGGACGGGTCGTCTGGGGCCGGGGGAGGGGGCCTGGAGCGGAGGTAACCGGCACCTCGGGTCGGCAGGAGATAACGCGCGCACGCGCCGGAGCCGCTCTGACAACGAGCGCAGGCGGGGAAGCCTTGGCCAGCGCCGGCGTGCGCGCGCGAATGGGGGCGCGCGCCCCTCGGCGTTCCTGGCTTCTGGGAGACGGCGCGCATGCGCCGGCCGCTGCCACCTACGGCGACCCTGGCATGTGCCAGGGCTTCTCCCCGCCCCCTTCCTCGCTGCGCCCGTGTAGAGCGTAGCTGCAGCATCCACCGCCTAGCAGAGCCGCGGGCCACAGCGGGACGGCAGAGTTCCAGCAGGTCAGCGGCTGCGCACGCGGGCGCCGGCTCGCACACGGCGTAGGCCGCCCTCTACCGCCTGAAGGCCGGAGGCTAAGTGGGGCGCCAGCGGATCCAGGATCCCTGGGGGAGAGCCGCCTTCAGAGAATGCCGTGCTCCCTACAGCGCCAGGGACTGACCGGCCTGTGCCAGCTTAGTCGGCGGCCCTAGGAGGCACCCGCACTAGGGCTTTTGAAGCTGGCTCCTTGCTACTTTTCGGGGTGGACGCTGCTGCTGCTCAGCCCCTGCAGCCCGCGTTTGGCCGCTCGGCTACAGCTTCCAGCTCGATCCTACAATGACATATGTCCCCCCAGGCGATTCAGCGAAGCCCTACTTTATCTTGTGAGAGCTGTGTTTCCACATTCGCTCGAAAAGAAAGACCGCCCACGAGGGCCTGAGTTCGATGCCCGGCCTCTCCCGACCCGCGGCTGCGACAGCCCCTCTGAGGCGGAAGTTTATTTAGTATGGCAAAGAGAACAGCACGGGGTGAGGGGAGAGGCTTTGCCCTAAGATGGGTCCTACCCGCTCGGACTCGGAAAATTCCCGGCGCCCGCGATGCAGAGCAGTGGGCCGAAGGGCTGCTCGGGCAGCCCAGACCGACAGTTGAGCGGGAGGACCGGAGCGCGCCGCCCCGACACACAAAGTAGTCGCGGGCCGAGGGGGTGCCGCCAGGGCCAATCAGAGTAGCGCGCCGCGTGAGTGGAGTGCGAGCCGGCCAATCAGAGGGCCGGAAGATGAGCTTCCCGTTCCAAACTCTTCCCTTGCAGCTCTGGGACCCAGATCCCAAGCCTGGAGCGAAGTACGGTTGTAAGCGAAATGGTGCCCTGAAGACAAGAATCATTTCTCTAGGCTTGGGCATTTTAAAGCACACACCGGGGATACTTATCCCAAAGCAAGTAGCGGCGGCCTTTTAGATGTTACATATTAAAAGATCACAGAAAAGAGATTTAAGAGGCAGTGGCCTGTCAAGACTGCAATCTGCCTAATATTCATAAATTCACATATTTATTGAGACCTTCTTATGTACCAGAAACTCTATTATAGATACACAAATAAGGTACTGCTGATTTAAAACAAGAAAATCCCTTGTCCTCAAGCAGCTCAGCTTCCGAGGGAGGCTTTGCTAGACCTTTTGACTCGTATTTATTGTCAGCTCTTTAAACAAAAAGCACTCTATGATGTGCTGTACTTTGCAGTCGTTTTTATGATTGTTATCTCCTTGTGAGAAAAGAAAATTGAAAATGGAGTGACTTATCCAAGATCACACAAAAGATATGCTGGCAGAGCCAGAATTATGTTCTAGTTCAGTTTGTGTGTCAGCATTCAATACAGTCATTGAATAACAATTTGTAAACGCATGGATGCTCTCTTCCAGGAGATTTCTGAACTAAGTGTACAAGCAGAACAAAATTCTGGTATAAAAATGACACACTTTGGTTATTGGAAATTTACACAAATTTTAGGCTTATGTGGGATTAAAGGTCAAATCTTATCAGTCATTCGCTAGATAATTTTTAGAAGTAAGAGGTGGGGTGGATATTTACTTTTCAGTTTAAACACAGCATTTTTTAAATATTTTAACAATCAAGTGTAACCTTTTTTTTTTTTTTTTTTTTTTTTTTTTTTTTTTGAGACGGAGTTTCGCTCTTGTTACCCAGGCTGGAGTGCAATGGCGCGATCTCGGCTCACCGCAATCTCCACCTCCTGGGTTCAGGCAATTCTCCTTCCTCAGCCTCCCGAGCAGCTGGGATTACAGGCACGCACCACCGTGCCCAGCTAATTTTTTGTAATTTTAGTAGAGACGGGGTTTCACCATGTTGACCAAGATGGTCTCGATCTGTTGACCTTGTGATCCACCCGCCTCGGCCTCCCAAAGTGCTGGGATTACAGGCTTGAGCCACCGCGCCCGGCCCTAACCTTTTTTTTTTTTAAGATAGAATAAGCGGGAAGGATCACTTGAGCCCAGGAGTTCCAGCCTACAGTGCCACATGATGGTACCTGTGAATAGCCACTGCACTCCAGCCTGGGCAACATAGCAAGACCCCCATCTCTAAAATAAAAAATTAAATTTAAAAAAAGAAAGAAAATAGCTATTTCTAGTTGGTTAACAGTCATGATAGCTTACACTGTATAATACTTTGAGATATCTAAGTTCAAAGCTTTACATTTGCCTCAAAATTCTATTTTTGTCTGGCCTTACATTTTTGCTTCCAAAATCCTAGGAATTAAAGCACTTATTTTCCCTACTTCCTTCCAATTAAAAAAAAAAAGAATGTTTCCTAGGAATTTTTTGCCTAGGATTTGGAACATTTATATAGAACAGTATAATGTACATTAAAATAACAAATAACTTTGGTATCTCTTGAATACACTCAGAAACTAATTTTTGAACGATTTTGAAGTCTGCTTTGTTGAATCAATGTCCTTCTCCACTGTGATGGAGCATTATTATCAAAACCCTTTCCAAGGGAGGCTCAAGATTTAGCTGCCATCCCAAAACTGGAGGTCTCTGTCAAACAACTGATATTTGAGAACAAGTCTTTACACATTAAATTCCAAGCCAATCATGAATTTCCAGGAAATTTGCTTATAAAAGGGATGCTTACTCGCCTCTTCTCAATGTGAACAACAGTTCCAGTTTTTAAGAAATATATTTATTTTACTCTCTGAAAAGGAAAATTCCTAGAACTCAGTCTTTCTCTTGCCAGGTTAAATTCTGAGAGAGAAGAAATTCCCAAAAGTTCTAAACATCACTGGCCACCAGAAAATATCTGTGTCAAAAGCGTTTTTCCACAAGCTACAACCTACCACCCTGTTCCTGGGCTCTCTCGTTCTCTTCTCCCAACTGCTTGCCTCTGCTGCTCATCACTCCCAGTTTGTGATACTTAAGTAAGTATAAGTACTCCACTTTTATTCCACCTCTCCCTCACCAAACTAGGTTTGGGTCCATCTTTGCTTATCCCAAGAGTTAAAGACAAGTTCTGCTCAACAAAAGATTAGGCAAAACAATCTTTATGATCTGTTATACTGTGTCAATGCATTGTTTTCTTTTACATAGCCTCAGTTAGATTCTTAACCATCAGCCAGAGCTATGGGGACTTGGGTGTGAGGCAAGAAGGAGTCAACTCTTAGACAATGGAAAAGATCAAAATGAAAGTTAAAGTGAGTACATGAGTGGCCATTTTATTGAGAGATTAGCTAGATCAAAGTTAATGAACTTGAATGCTATCGCATTTCCTAAGTTGTGAACATTCATGTAGAAACTAGTTTGAAATTTACTACCATTTTATTATGACTGTAATAAAAATAATAGCCAAAGTGTAATATTGCTGAGCACCAGGCCCCATGCAAAACTCTTTACCTACACCATTTAATTTTCAAATAAACCTTTGAGATGGATCCTATTTTTATAGTAGGGAGATCTGTGAAGTTCCAGCAAGGGGTTGAGGCACTCAGAAGGCTTAGCATAAGCTACTTACCAAATAGTTTAGAAATTTTTCTATCTCTACAATGTGTACCAATTGACTGTCAGTCATGGAAGCATTCTGAATAATTGTTCATTGTTGCTGCTGTTTCTTAATTGTTACTGCTGTTTCATAATTGTTGCTCTAGCTACTTTTCACTTATAGGATCCCATTTTCCAGGAAGTCATCCAAAGGGCAGCATTGTTACTGCCATGAGCAAGAAAGAGTGACCTTGAGATAATCATTTTACTCATTTGGGCCTCCGTTTTCTCATTTGTAAAATAAAAGGGTTGAACTAGGTAAGTTTTAGTTGTTCCCAGTTCTAAAACTATAAACCTAGCCAACTTGACATACCATTGACAATAACTACAAAAATGAAATACGGGAAAAAAAGAGTCCATATTTTCTTTTCTTTTTTTAGAAACAAGGTCACCCATGTTGTCAAGGCTGGTCTTGAACTCCTGGCCTCAAGCTATCCTCCCCGTTCAGCCTCCTGCAAACTAAGAATCTATATTTTCAAATTCAATGTGTTATAAGTCACTTTTGAGCCAACTCCTTAAAGTGAGCCAACTCCTTAAACAGAAACTCTATATGTACTCATTAAAAAGCTAGAGTAAATCTTTCCCATTAGAAAAGTAAATGAAGTGATTAATTTAAAGACTGATGAAACTAGCCAGACTATCCCTCCCTATGACTTGCCTCCACGGCTGAAATTTCTGTCTTCTCCATTGGGATAAAGCAGCCTATCGTTCACACTACTGATTTCTTATTCAATATTCATTCCTGTCCTTCCTTATTAATAGGGCTCTTTATTTTTGTTTTTATCTGCCAGTTTTTTAGGTAACCACCCAAACTCCAACTACAAAAGGGCAACTCAATTAGCCAGTAAATGGATTCCTTAATATGGTAGGAGATTTATCATGCTTACTCTCTCCTTCCAGACATACAAAAATAATACATTTTTCTACACCCACCCCAGCTACCCTCCTCCCCTTGCAGTTGGGCTGGACTATGTGACTGACTAGCTATAGCCAACAGTCTGTAGTGGGTTGTGGGTAGAAGTGGTATGTGTCAATTCCAGGTAGAACAATTCATTGCCAGCATAAGTCCTTACAGTGTTTACTCTTCCCCAGACTCAAGACCAGTATTATCTTAAGTATTAGTAAAACCTCTCTCAGCTTAAGTTCCAAAAAAAAAGGACAATGTAAAGCAGCTTGCCTCCAATCTTCATCTGGTTTGAATAAGAAATGCACCTTTGTAGTTTAAACCACTGAAATTTGAGAGTATTTTTCACTGCAGTATGACCTAGCATCTAGGTTATGCTAGACTAAAATATGCTTGAAAACTATTAGGACCAGGGTAAACTAGCACAATCAGATCAAAGGAAAGGATTTTCAGTTCATTCCTAGGGGAAGGAGTTCTCTCCTGCCTGATATGAGCAAGTCACACTGTGACCCAGATTGCCATTGGCAGCTATCTTGCAAGAGGAACTAACCTGAAAATGAAGTCAGCCTACTGGGGATGGCAGAGAGAGAGAAAACTCTTGAAGATATGATTGAGCTGTGGTCATACCACTCCTGAAAACTGCTCTTTCCTGGACTATTCCACAAACCAATAATTCTGTTTGTTTGTTACCCTGTAACACTGTAAGCATAAACTCTATCTTGTATATCTTTAATTTAATCTCAGTTCCTAACACAGATGTCTCAAGAAGCACTAAAAAATATTGGATATAGCCAGGAATGATGGCTCATGCCTGTTATCTCAACACTTTGGGAAGCCGAGGTGGGAGGATCACTTGAGGCTGGGAGTTCTAGACCAGCCTGGGCAACCATAGCAAGACCCCGTCTCTATTTTTTAAAATATATTGGATACATTAACATTTTTTAAATATAATAGCTCATACTCTTGCCTTCAGAAATAAGGTATTGTCTGTATTAAGAAGGAGAAAGTAATTTGATTTAATCCAATCTTTTTACAGATGAAGAGATTAAAACCTTTTAAGATATTACAAGGTTTATCAAGTTCGTATAGCTTTGGTATGGCAAACAGAGATAGAGAAATAACTAATAATTGCTTCATCAAAATTGACCAAGGTTTCCAACTCAGGATAGAGAAGTATTGAGCCACTATATTACCCTCAGACTTACTAGCTATCTTGCAACCACATCACACCAATCTGGTTCAACTTTTCTGTAACAAAGTTGTGAGTTGTTTTCCAGTTACCCTGTGCCCCCAGGTTGAAGGTCACCTAACCTGAACAGGCCCAGAGGAACCGAGTCTGCAACCACAGCGGGAACCTAAGTGCTCTGACTGAGGAGTGGGGACTGAATTAAGAAGGGGATATCACATGGCAGGATCTAAGATCTAATCATATCAAGCTTGGCCTCACCCCATGGCAGGATCCAATCAAATCATACCTCCCAGCATTGTCTTATTGCAGGATCCAATCCAATCACATCTCATTACTTTATGCTTATAAAATCTGGCCCAGGCCAGGCACAGTGGCTCACACCTATAATCCCAGCACTTTGGGAGATGGAGGCAGGCGGATCACTTGAGGCCAGGAGCTCAAGACCAGCCTGGCCAACATGGCGAAACCTACTAAAAAATACAAAAATTAGCCAGGCATGGTGGTGGGCACCTGTAATCCCAGCTACTTGGGAGGCTCAGGCAGGAGAATCACTTGAACCCAGGAGCAGAGGTTGCAGTGAGCCAAGATCACACAACTGCACTCCAGCCTGGGCAACAGAGCATATCCTCCTGTCTCCTTGCAGTTGATTTACAATAAATCTTTTATTTTCTCAAAAGCTAGTGCCATAGTATTGGCCATTGGCCTCTATGCACATTAAATAGTGCTTGGTAACAGTCTGACCTTGGGCAAGTTACTTAACCTCTCTGAGCTCTATTTTTTCCATCTATAAGAAGGGATAATGACCCCTAGCTCATGGGGTTGTATGGAATAAATTACTCAACATATAAAAAGCACTTATTGTTGACATATAGTAAATGTTGTATACATTACAGCCCTATTAAATAATCTTTATTCATAGCTAAACCATTTTTATACATTACCTTTACCATTCATTTAATTCAGACCACTGACCTGTGTTTTTATATCACACAAAATTGTAATGTATATTAATGTGTGGCCAGCACCCACCTTTCCTATAGGAACTACTGCTCTCATGCCCACACTTCTATTATGATGGCAGCAAGAAGAGCTGTGTTACTGCTGTCCATTGGTCACACCTAATTGGTCAAGAGGTGGACACCTGACTAAAGATGGGCCAATGAATCCATTCCTTCAGGATGTTTAGACTTGGGAAGAGAGATTATCTCAAGCCTTACCTAGATATAAAATCTGGGAGAAGTCATTAGTCATTTGCCAAGTGCAGAAACTCATTCTGCATTAGAGAATAAAGTCAATGGACAGAGGAAGCAGAGAAGACAGAAGTATCCTTATTATAGTGGAATGCTAAGTTCCAGGTTTTCCTGACCAGTAGTTGAATTTCTGCCTTTTCTTCTGCTTAGGCTCATCTCTTTCTAGGCTTTCCCTATATCCTTGCGATATTGTTTCCATCTTGCCTAAGCTATTTCCAGGTGGGTTTATTTTAGAAGAAATTAATGCAATGATATGCTATATTATCATAAAGTTAAAAAAAATAAGAAAAGGAAAAATACTTTTTTTTTGAGACGCAGTTTTGCTCTAGTTGCCCAGGCTGGAGTGCAATGGTACAATCTTCATTCACCGCAACCTCCACCTCTTGGGTTCAAGCGATTCTTCTGCCTCAGCCTCCATCCAGAGTAGCTGGGATTACAGGCATTCACCACCATGCCCAGCTAATTTGTATTTTTAGTAGAGACGGGGGTTTCACCATCTTGGCCAGGCTGGTCTTGAACTCCTGACCTCATGATCTCCCAAAGTGCTGGGATTACAGGTGTGAGCCACCGCACCTGACCCTAGAAAAATTCTTAGATGTATTACCTTCATTAATGACCTGGATGATACCACTAAGAATAGATCATCAAGTTTATGAAAGTGAATCAACAAATTTTTATAAGATCTCAACTGTATGTAAGGTACCGATAGCAAAAACTTCAGATTACCTACCTTTCTATATCTTTTCTCTCATTTTTCATAATAACAAATCCTCATTTCTGGATGGTTCTATTGCAACTCAACTAAAATCTTACATTTCCTAGTCTCCCCTGTCATGGCTGTGGGTGTATGACTAAATTCTGGCTGTTGAGATCTAAGCAGAAAAGTTGTGCAGTGCTTATATATTTTTTAAAAATCATTAAAATGAAGGAGATACATTCTTCTTATTGCTTCTCTCCATCCTACTACCTGAGGCATGATGATGTGATGACTGGAGCCCTTGCAACCATCTTGCACCATGAGGAGAATAGCTATACCCTGGGGATAGGATAATAGTTACTGGGAGGGAGTTGGGTCCTTGACAACTTTGTCAAGCCTCCACACCAGTCCTGGATTGCTCATTTCCAGAATTATTTTATGTGAAAAATAAATAAGCTGCTGTTTTATTTAAGCTACTATTATCTAGGTTTTACTGTTATATGCCACTAATTCTCATACTATTGATACAATACCATTGCAGTTTAATAAATTATATTGAGTTAGGCTGGATCAATAAGGCTGTATAAAAAGAAGCAAATCTGGCCTGACATGGCTCATGCCTGAAATCCCAGCACTTTGGCAGGCCGAGGCAGGTGGATCACCTGAGGTCAGGGGTTCAAGACCAGTCTGACCAACATGGCAAAACCCCATCTCTACTAAAAATACAAAAAATTAGCCAGGCATGGTGGTGGGCACCTATAATCCCAGCTACTCAGGAGGTTGAGGCAGAAGAATCACTTGAACCCGGGAGGTAAAGATTGCAGTGAGCTGAGATCATGCCATTGTGCACCAGCCTGGGCAACAAGAGCAAAACTCCATCTCAAAAAGGAAAAGAAAAAGAGACAAATCTAAAAAGCATTTTGAAAGAACTGTTACAGAAACAAGTATACATTATTGTATTTTAAAAATTAGAAATCTATGCTGGGTGCAGTGGCTCACGCCTGTAATCCCAGCACTGTGGTAGGCCGAGGCGGGTGGATCATGAGGTCAAGAGTTCAAGACCAGCCTGGCCAAGATGGTGAAATCCCGTCTCTACTAAAAATACAAAATTAGCCAGGAGTGGTGGCACATGCCTGGAATCCCAGCTACTCAGGAGGCTGAGGCAGAGAACTGCTTGAACCCAGAAGGCAGAGGTTGCAGTGAGCCAATATCACACCA